CGTTAGCGGGATAAATACATATTACCAGTATTTGTGGAACTTTCCTTTAAAAGGTTTAAAATTTAAAAAAACTGAATATTAATCGTCGGTTGTAATAAAACCAGATTTGTTTTGAGGAAAATGCAGGATTCAGTTTGTGCAGCCTGGCAGGCAAAACTCAGGGCAAACTCAGGTGTTGGTAAAGGTGCAGTTGGGAGTTTAATTCAGCAAAACGTTTTAGCAAAGAAGGAGAAAGACGGAGGAAAGAAAAGTGAATCCTGGAAGAGTTTCTGAACTCACACTCATTTTTAGATAAAGTGGAAACGAGAGCGAGTGACTCAGATTTTGCCCAACGTGCTCCAAGAACTACTAAAAACTGTCCAAAACACTGACAGCCGACTAGTTTAGAGCATTTCTGGACAGGTCTTCAGTCATTTTGGATCATTTCATGTCATTATAGACGAATCTTAAGCGACGTCATGTCATTTTTCGATCACTTTGAGCCATATTTAATGTTGTTTGGCCGTCATGTCGCTGTCTGTATTTCCTGCTCCAGTGTGTCGGTCCTTCTGTGGAAACGCTGCTTGCAGCTCCACCTGGACACTCCCTGAAATCTGAATCAAATCTGTTTGTTTGTGCCAAATGGGACTCATAAAATAAAGCGATTTATATTTTCCTTAGCTTTTAGGGAACGATCCTGGTTTGGTTGGAATTAAACACCGTCCTCGTCATGATTACAGTAATGAACGGTTTGGTGTTTTAAAGCAGGAAACAGCGATGGAGCCGACCATCCGCCCCGAGCTCCTCCCCTGCTCCTGCTGTAAAGGCTACGGCCACTAGAGGGCAGCGCTACAATAACGGGAAGATTTTAAAAACAAAACTGACTCAGAGTCCAACGAGAACCTGTCGAATGTTTCCTGAATGAGCAGAAATCTGGTTTAAAGTCAACTAACGGATCCTAAACTAATAAAACTTCAGAGAGGAGCCACTTTAAAGAGGCTTCAGCAGCCAGAGCAGGAATACTTCCTGGATTTCCTTCACATAACTACAGACGGTTCCACCTCGAACCGACGCAGAACAGGAACAAACTGGCGCCTGAAGCTGGAGCAGAAAGCAGGACGTTCAGAGGAAGGCGGCGCCTCACCGGTGTGGGACAGCAGGTTGGGCGACAGCAGGCCGGGGAGGCCCGGGTGAAGCAGCCTGGGGCTTTCCTGGATCCCGGCACCAGAGCATCGCTTCGGAGGACGGCCTGGACGAGAGCTGCAGGGGAGACAAGAAGAGATGAGACACAGAAACGGGATCACGGAGAAAGAACGATGGACCGCTGAGAGCTAAATGTTCTGGTTTTCCTCCTCTACGGCTGAACACTGAAGCTTTAGAACCTGTATCTCCTCATTCTGGGTCCCGGTGGTGAATCAGAAACGCCTCCTTGTGCTGAGGAGTGTTTGTTTTGTTGGTTTTCTTTCATTTGATCATGTAAACGTGTCTCTGACATGCAGCTGAATTCAGACATCATAGGACTTTACACGAGGTGGCAAAAGTCAAACTACAATAAAATCCAAATGACATGAAGTTCTTGAAACAAGAAGGAAAATTAATTCCATTTAAAAGCAATGAAACTGTGTAAAAGGCCCTTTCCTGGATGACTTCTGTGCTTCGTCACCGTACAGAGATGATTAATGCTGGAACTGTTCAGTTTGACTTCCTTCAGAGTGAAACCAATCAGATCGATACGTCTGAATAAGGACGTTTCTGTGGTTTCACACCAGATGAGACCGACGTTCAGCTGATTCTTAGACTTTCATAAACTCAAACCAAAGAGGCTAAAATCTGCTTTTCATGGATGAACTGATCTGGAATCAGCGTCTCAGGAACGCTGCGGCGCCGCGACTGTCGGTGGAGGCCAACAGCTGGACGCCGACAGCCGGCCGCTCGGACGAATCACATCACAGAGCGACGGCGAGCGACGGCGAGCGGCAGCTTCGCAGCGATCTCATTGGACGACAGAGGGCCGAGCGAAGCCGCAGCTGATTGGTCGATTTCATTCGAGGAGCAGAAAACACGACCTGGACATTTAGCTTAGTGCAGAGAGCTGCACTGGTCAGAGGACAGCAATCCAGGATTTAAAGCAAATATAGATAATAATCGCTTCAAAAAGCTGTTAAAAACTGGAGATATAGAAAAAAAATGTTTAAAAAAAGGTCAAATAATGTGAAAAAAAACTGTTGAAACAATAAAAATAACAGCAAATGTATGTAAAAATAAAGAGAAGAAGTATATGTTAGCTGGTTTAATCCTGTCATCACGTAAATTAATACTTTTTTCTGTGATTTCACTCAAAATTATCTGTAATATCACAGAAATCACCAATAAAGTCTCAGAATTTAAGCACAATTTCCTTTTTTTTAGTCACTAATATACTTACAAAAAAAACAAAAGAACCCAGCAAATATCAGGTAAATGATATTGTTCCTGTAATAAATACAATAAAACTCAGTCCAGTGTCATGAAAAGGGAGAAAAACTTCTAATAAAACCAACAGACAGACAAATCTGCACAACTCCTTGATGAAACCTGAATATTCCAGCCAACAGGACGAGAGAGTGAGACGATGAAAACGGACAACTTAAAGGCAGCTTGTGTTACAGATGATCAATAAAAGCTCCTGATGTACACCGAGGCTGAGATCCAGGTGAGCTCATCGACACACAAACATCCTGTGGAACACCTGAGACGGCGAAAACGTGTCGGCCGCTCTGTCCCCACAAAGACTCTTATTTTGAAGGGGACGGGCGATTATTAATCAGGTTTTCAGGTAGAAGAGCGTTTAAAATATTCAGAAGAGGAGACGCTGGCTTGTAAACGCGTTAACAGTCGTGTAAAGCGGCGGCGTCCTTCCAAAGGCGGCAGAACGTGTTCTACATGTGCAGGAGAACCTCCACAAACAGCAGCTCCTGTATTATGCATGTGCACGTAGGCATAAATAAACACAGAATACAGTAGAGCACAGGAAGGAGGCTGCACACACACACACACACACACACACACACACACACAATGAGGAGGTTTGTCATGCAGGCCAACTCTCTGCAGGGAGGCTCAGTAACAGATGGCCGTCCAAAGTCATTTA